CTATGATCTCGTGTTTTTGTATTGTTATAGTACAATTATTAAATACTAAAATTAATTGCATGATGGCTAGTGCATTATTATTGGTGACTGGTGAGATGGATCTGCTGAAGTGTGGGATACTTTGTTCATCCCTGCATATGTCACCCAAAAATCATCTTTTCCCTTCCACACTTGTTCCTGATGAATTTTAGAACGTTCAGTATTAGCTATGTTCAGTTTTGTTCAGTATTCCACATTGGTAGTGTGATGTAAACGTCCACTCCTTGATAATCCATCTCGTGGATAGTTATTTAGCAAATTGTTTTCTTATTCTTGGAAGTCCTCAATTTGGTGCACATATGTGTGTGTTAACTTTTCCTCTCAAAAAATATGATTAGATTTCCGAAGCCAAATTTGATACCCTATTGCAGTCAGTGTTCCTAAATATAGCCGTCTAGGCATTCGGCAGCACCTTGTCTCCCTCATTTTTTCTGTAATCAGCTGAGTGAAGCAGTCCAAAGCGTAGCTCGGTAGTCCATCATGTCGTTTTGTTCATACTTCATATAATATATTATCTAGCAGTTCAATGTCAATATAGTTTGTTAGAACTTTTATTGTGGGTCAAGTTTGTCTGTAATGTCTTGTTTAAATAAAGTAGACTAGTTATACCATTTATGGTATTAGATTAGTATTTATTATGTAATAAATAAGGTAAAGGGAATAAGGCCCAAAAAGGCCTTGGCCCAACTTCCAAGGTTTACCTAAATCGGTAACCTGTACAGCGCCTATAAATACGCGCCTTGTGTACAGGTACCGATATCGATCAATACACATTAGCCTTACGCTGTCAAAAATACTTCTCGATATAATAGAAAGGCGATTTCCAAGTTCTTGACATTGCATAAATCATTCTGGGTAATCGTTCTTCTCTGTTTATCGATGAATACCATCTAGCTGTGTGTTAGTCTACATAAACTGGGACCAACAACTGGTATCAGAGCCTGCTCGAGTGTGATCGTCGAAGAAAAGTTTTCGAAGTTTTCTGTTTTTCATACTTTTCGATATATCTCTTTGTAATCACTGTAATCTTGTTTCTGATCGATAAACTGTAAAAGTTATACCATTGGATTCGCCATTCAGAAACGAACCAAGGGTATATCTTACTTTTCGATTTCAGTAGATTCGGTATTTTTGATTTCTCGATAGTATGAGTTCGAAAAGCAGGGTTCTCTACATTTAAGCAGGTTTTTCAGGACGAAAACTATACAGGAAGACTCTCGAGATCGAAAACTTCACAGAAAAGTTGTTTAAACTGTCTAAAACTGAACTTTTGATTTGCAGGATTTCGATACTACGTTCTCGATAAGAGTTCTCGAACTGAGTTCTCGAGATTTCTTTCTCGATACTCGGTTTTCGATACTAAATATTTAAAACTCTGTTTTTCGAATTGCAGGTTCTCGATACAGCTTCTCGACACTCAGTTCTCGAAACTAAGTTCTCGAACTTAGCTTCTCGATACTGAAGTTCTCGATACAGCTTCTCGAATCCAGCTTCTCGATAAACAGGTTCTCGATATTCAATATCAAAAACTGGTTCTCGATAGAACTTCTCGAACCCTAGTTTTTGAATTTTTTTTCTTGAATTAGGTTTTCGACATTCTGCATCTTAAATTTTTTTCTGATCAAAACACTCGACCGATCTGTTAAGGCTCAATCAGCAAAGATGGAAGCATTAGCACTTGGAAATGACAACAGACCACCCATCCTCAGAAAAGGAGAATATCAGATGTGGAAGACAAGATTCTTGAACTTTCTGGAAGGAAAAGATAATTCATCTGCCATGCTTGAGTCGCTCACACAAGGTCCTGCTGAGATCTATACAGAAGTAGATACCTCAGATGTAAACAACCCCCCTGTCAACTTTGTGAAAAGACTGAAGACAAAAGGCGAATACACTGAAGCTGACAAGTTGAGAATCAAAGTTGATCTCATGGCAAAAACATATCTGTTGCAAGCTATCCCCAATGATATTTACATTCTGATAGACAGCATGGAGACAGCAAAGGAAATGTGGGATGAGGTGAAGAAGTTAATGATTGGAACTGATCTTGGTTTGAAGACAAAGAAAGCAAACATCTTGACCGCCTATGATGCTTTTAAAGCGCTACCTGGTGAGGCGCTCCATGAGACGTATAACAGATTCGTACAACTGATCAATGAGATGAGAAAGATCAAAGTTGTCAAATCTAATATGGAAATGAACATACGTTTCTTGTCGAGCCTGCCACCAGAATGGAGAAGAACTGTTAAGAATCTACGACAGCACCTAGACTTGGATGAACTTGACCTCTGCACTGTCCATGAACATCTACAGCAGTTTGTTAATGACACTGCTGAGATGGAAGGAAGCTTCTCTGCTAATCCTTTAGCACTCATGATTGAAGCTAAATCAAAGAGTTCATCTAAGGGTCCGAAGAAGAAGAAGGCAGTCAAGATAGAGTCAGAAGAAGAAGAGAGTGAAGAAGAAATGGATGTTGAATCCGAGCTGGCCGATCTACAGAAGAAGATGGCACTACTTACCAATCAGTTCAACAAAAGGTTTGCCAAGAAAGGAAGCTCATCAAACAAGCTCCGAACCTCCTCTGCCAACTACAAAACAAAAACCAATGATCAAAACTCTTCTAGTAGAGTTGTTGCAGCCGAAGACCCCCTCAAATGCTTTAACTGTGGAAAAGCTGGACATGTTATCAAGGACTGTCGCTTACCAAAGAAGAGGGACTTCAACTATTACAAGCAAAAGATGTTGTGGAACAAGCAGAAGATGTTCATGGCTAAGCAAGATGATGATAGTGCTGCAACTCTTACTGAGAATGATCCATGGCAGGAGGAGAGTTCCGATGAAGAAGAAGAAGAAGAGAATCTGGCCCTGATGGCGTTTGTGGAAGAAGAAGGAAAAGAAAAGGGTGATGCTACGATCCCCGGAAAAAGTCAAAGTTCAAGCTCAAACACCACTGTAAGTACTTCTGAACCCTCTTGCTCATGTACCTGCAAGGTTCATTCCTCACATGAAAAGGATAACACTATAAAGGAGTTAAAAGGCAGGTTAGATCATAACTACAAAGTTGCACTTGACACTCTAGATAAGAGTCATTCTCTGAAGTTGCAAGTAGAAAATGAGAAAGAAAGAGTTCAGAAACAAAATTTAGAAGCAGAAAAGCTTACACAGAAAACAACTGAACTAACTAAGAAGGTCCGTGACACAGAACTCGAACGAAATGTTGCGAAAGCAGAAAATGATTTTTTACGCAAACAAAGATGTGCTCTTTACACAAAAATCAAAGAATTAGAAGATCTACTGGTCAAAAGAGGACAAACTGAACAAACAATTTTCTTAAACCAAAACAGGGACACTGTCACGCCCCAGACCGCAATCCAAGCGCGTGTACAACCGCCGTATAATCAAGTGACGTCACCCGCGAGTCAACCTCACTTAATTACACAAGGCGTTCGAGAATATAAACCATCCATACTCAGTAGTAAACATACATAACAACATCACACTTAAACCAATGAATAGCGGAAATATTCAACGGTACGTCATAAGCCACAACCGGCCAACAACGTACATGGGCATGCAAGCCCCAAAAGTAGTTTATAACAAATAAAAATATCCATGAGCAATGTTTAGTCATTTGAAAGGAAATGAGGAAGCACGAACCACGTCTTCCTTGACTTGATGTCACCCGTAGAAAGGTGCAGGTAGCAAGCCCTAGCTTCAACCTGAAAATGGTGGGGCCCCCCGAAGGGGTCAGTACAAGTACCGAGCGAGTAGCAGGCTAAATATAGAATAACTAGCGTTTCAAGTATAAGACCCAAACATAGGGTGATACATATACATATAGTCCTTCCCCCCAAGTTTGAAATACATATTAGTATACATACACTTGGAAATACCCGACCCATAGGTCATTGTTTATTTGGGAAAATAATAGTAGCCAATATCCTTGACTTAAATCCCAACCCACCCATATACCTATGAGTGTATAGAACTCCTCCTTGTTCAAATAAATTATCATAAGGACACCGCCCGGTCCTAGATCATTAAATGTAATCTATGAGTTTTGAGGATACACGCCCGATCCTTGGGTACTCCACCCTATAATTGAGTTTTGAGGATAACCGCCCGATCCTTGGGTACTCCACCCTATATAACCGAGTTTTGAGGATAACCGCCCGATCCTTGGGTACTCCACCCTATATAACCGAGTTTTGAGGATAACCGCCCGATCCTTGGGTACTCCACCCTATATAACCGAGTTTTGAGGATAACCGCCCGATCCTTGGGTACTCCACCCTATATAACCGAGTTTTGAGGATAACCGCCCGATCCTTGGGTACTCCACCCTATATAACCGAGTTTTGAGGATAACCGCCCGATCCTTGGGTACTCCACCCTATATAACCGAGTTTTGAGGATAACCGCCCGATCCTTGGGTACTCCACCCTATATAACCGAGTTTTGAGGATAACCGCCCGATCCTTGGGTACTCCACCCGACCTATGACTTACCACATATCACACTAGATAGGATCTATATCATATTTAGCCATTCATAACTAATTCAATACATAAAACTTATGTATCACATTCCATGCAAAGCTATGCATTTATGTAAATGTATAATTAATTAATATCGACCGGTATTAATTAATCCATTATCCACCGGTCAACGTGGTCGTTGACCGCCATTGCAAACCTTGTACAAATCAACTTAATCATCACATAATTAAGTTAAAATATTCATTTGTGCTTCTAATACACTTCAAGCAAATATGCATTTTATATAATTCTTCATATCATATTCTATGCATAAACAATCTATTCCTTTCATACAAACTTAACCCTATTGGCTAATCACATGTTTAAATATCTTTTAAACATCATTATGAATTCATATAAACATTTATTTCGGTAATCTTATAATTAACCCAAAAGTTATAAGATATTAAGCCGTCCACTCACCTTGAACTAGCGTTAAGAAGTTCTACCCTTCTTGGTTGAACTCCGGTGAAACTCCGGTGACTTTTGGTCAACTCCGGCGACAACTCCGGCGACTTTTCCAACTTTGTGAAATCACTTGAAATACCTTTCACAAGTTCCTAACAAGGTTTTAACATCATAAAACCTTAATCAATACAAATAACCTATAAAAGGTTATTTTCCGGTGAACCGGTCGTTTTTGGCTTCTAAGTCCGTTCTTGGACGTAGAGCCACCTTTCAACCCATGAATCCATACTTGTAACATATGGAACCATACTAAAGGTTTTCTACATGATATATACCTCATATGGTAGAAGAAAAATAAAGGAGAAGTTATAACAAGGTCATTACCTTAATTATTCACACTTTTCCTAACTTTTTCCTTCTCAAACCTCCTTCCTTGGACCAATTTCTCTTGAGCTCGTGCTGCAACAATGGAGGTGGTTTTGAGAGCTTTTCCTCTTCTTTTCTTGAGGTCTTGGTCGAGCTTGGTGATAGGGGTGAGAGAGTGTACACACTTTTGTCTCAAATGACAAATAAGTGTGGGATGGGAGCCCACCTTTGTCCTTAGATGCTTCTCAACTCAAACCCATACAACCCCCCACTCCCCTCTTTCATTCCAGCCGTCCAAGACAGGGCATTGAGTGATTGATTTCGTGGGTTGGCCCCCACACATGTGGGAGGTCATCCCTTTAAGCCCTGAAGTGTACAATCGGTCCCGAAAGTTGTATTTTTTCGGACTGTTTTAAATATATTTTATTTTATCGGGTCAGATAAAATATATTATGTGCTCTTACTCATTATGACATGTATAATGAATATACATTCCCCAAATTTAATTTATAAGCCTCCGAAATTCATTTCCGGGCTGTTACCGGTTAAATTGTCGGTACCGGTAATTGGGCCTCTTTTTCCCAATCGGTCAACTCTACGCCTTGCCACGACCCAAATGAAATACTCACCACTATATAAATATTATCTTGACCAAGATGAATAAAATATGTGGTCTCGGGAGTGTCGGGCGGCCCCGCTCCCGGTGTGGGTCCCACGTGCAATTTACTATTCACGCGAAAGAAATAATAAAAATTTACAACTTCGTAAATTCATTAATCCTTTAATAAGGTTCGATACATTATTTACATAAAAGTAAATATATTTGGGGATGGTGTTACAAGTTCACCCCCCCTTATTTGGGATTTCGTCCCCGAAATCCAAGTATCTAATCGAAAAGAAATGGGTATTGCTCCCTCATGGAGACCTCGGTCTCCCAAGTTTCTTCTTCGACTCGATCACTCCTCCAAAGGACCTTTACCATAGGAATCTCCTTATTCCTAAGCTTCTTCACCTGTTGACCAACAATCTTCACTGGTTCCACCGCATATTGCAAGTCCTCACGGATCTCTACCGGTGGCCTCTCAAGAATATGAGATGGGTCTCGTATGTACTTCTTGAGCATTGATACATGAAACACGTCATGTATCTTCTCAAGTTCAGGCGTCAACTTGAGTCGGTAAGCCGCGGCCCCGATCCTTTCAAGGATCTCAAACGGACCTATCTATCGGGGGTTAAGCTTCCCCCTCGATACGAATCGGATGATGCCCTTCCAAGGAGAAATCCTTAGGAAGACCTCATCACCGACTTCGAACTCCAACGGTCTCCGCCGTTTATCAGCATAACTCTTCTGTCGGTCCTGAGCAGCCTTCAGTCTATCCCGAATGATCCTCACCTTGGCCTTGGTGATCTCAACCAGCTCTATCCCTTCGAGTTTGGCCTCGCCAACCTCGTCCCAACACAATGGTGTTCTGCATTTCCTCCCATACAATGCCTCATATGGGGGCATGCCGATACTTGCCTGATAACTGTTGTTATAGGCAAACTCCACTAGGGCCAAATGCTTGTCCCAACTTCCTTGGAACTCCAAAGCACATGCCCTAAGCATGTCTTCCAAAATCTGTATCACCCGCTCGGACTGTCCATCGGTCTGTGGGTGAAAAGCTGTGCTAAACCTCAGTTTAGTCCCCAGAGATGCTTGAAACTTTGGCCAAAATCGGGATGTGAATCGTGGATCCCTATCCGAGACAATGGATATTGGGACTCCATGTAATCTCACAATCTCCTCCGTGTATAGCTTGGCCAATCTTTCAAGAGGATAAGTAATGTTGATAGGCAGAAAGTGTGCACTCTTGGTGAGCCTATCAACCACTACCCATACGGCATCGTAGTTGTTCACTGTTCGTGGCAGCCCCACCACGAAGTCCATGGTCACATGTTCCCACTTCCACTCTGGGATGGTGAGCGGTTGTAAGAGCCCTGCTGGGTGCTGATGCTCTGCCTTAACTTGCTGGCAAGTAAGGCATCGACTCACAAACTCTGCGATATCCTTCTTCATGCCTGACCACCAGTAACTTTCCTTCAGATCTCGGTACATCTTAGTACCCCCTGGATGCATGGCATATGCTGAAGAATGAGCCTCCTCAATTATAGCCCTCTGGAGCTCCTCATTCTTTGGTATGCACACACGATCCTTAAATAATAAAAGACCGTCATCACGTACCCGAAAATTCTCGACGGGCCCCTCAAGGATCCGTTCGCGGATCTTCAGACATTCCTCATCAATGGCCTGACATCTACTGATCTCACTCAGCAATGTAGGCCTCACCTCGAATCTAGCAATGAGCGCCCCGCTCGTGGATACCTCCACGTGTGCCCTCAATGCCTGTAGACATGTGAGTAGCGTCTCTGACGTACTCTTTCTGCTCAGTGCGTCGGCCACTACATTGGCCTTTCCAGGATGATAGTCAATGATCAAGTCATAGTCCTTGATCAACTCCATCCATCTCCTCTGCCTCATATTCAACTCTTTCTGAGTGAATACATACTTCAAGCTCTTATGATCAGTATAAATGTGACACGTCTCCCCGTAGAGATAATGCCTCCAAATCTTCAATGCAAACACCACCGCCCCCAACTCTAGATCGTGAGTAGGGTAGTTCACCTCGTGTTTCCTCAATTGCCTAGAAGCATAGGCAATCACCTTACCGTTTTGCATTAGTACACATCCAAGCCCTTGGATGCTAGCATCGCTGTAAATGTCGTACCCTATACCCTGTATGGGTAGGGCCAGGACTGGTGCTTCGGTAAGTCGTTTCTTCAATTCAAGGAACCCCTCCTCGCACTTATCGTCCCATATGAACTTGGCCCCTTTCTTTGTGAGCTTCGTTAATGGAGACGCCAATACGGAGAATTTCTCAACAAATTTACGATAGTATCCCGCCAGGCCAAGGAAACTACGTATCTCCTTCGCATTCCTGGGTCTCTCCCAATCCATGATCGCTTTTATCTTGGCGTTATCCACAGCAACACCCGAACCGGATATGACATGACCGAGGAAACCAATCTCTTTGAGCCAAAATTCGCATTTGGAGAACTTGGCGAAGAGTTGCTTTTCCCTTAGCCGATCAAGTACAAGCCTCAAATGGTGTTCGTGCTCTTCCTCGCTCTTGGAGTATATCAAGATGTCATCAATGAATACTATCACAAATTGATCTAAGTATTCACTAAACACACGGTTCATCAAGTCCATGAATGCTGTCGGTGCATTGGTTAACCCAAATGACATCACAAGAAACTCGTAGTGACCATATCTAGTGCGAAATGCACTCTTAGGTATGTCACTCTCCTTGATCTTCAACTGATGATACCCCGACCTCAAGTCAATTTTCGAGAACACTATTGCCCCTCGAAGTTGATCGAACAAGTCATCAATCCTCGGTAAGGGATACCTGTTTTTGATGGTGACCTTGTTCGATTGTCGGTAGTCGATACACATTCTTAGCGTACCATCTTTCTTCTTTACGAAGAGTACGGGTGCTCCCCACGGTGAATGACTGGGTCTGATGAACCCGTTGTCCAGTAATTCTTGTAGTTGGACCTTCAACTCTTGGAGTTCGGCCGGCGCCATTCGATAAGGAGGAATCGAAATGGGTTTGGTTCCCGGCTCCACTTCAATTACAAACTCTATCTCTCTATCGGGTGGGAGCCCCGGTAGGTCTTTGGGAAATACATCCGGGTATTTGCATACGACCCATACATCTTTGATGTCGACTTCCTTCTTGGTATCGTCCACCACGTAGGCAAGGTATGTGTGGCATCCCTTCCTCATCATCTTCCGTGCTCTCATCACGGATATGATACATGCATGGGACTTCCCCCGATCTCCTTCAAAACATAGCGTGTTCCCTTGATCATCCTCGAGCTCCAACACCTTGGTGTAGCAATCCACTCGAGCATGGTGTTTCTCGAGCCAATCTATTCCTAGGATTGCATCGAACTCCAACATGCTTAGAGGTACGAAATCACAAGTCAAATGTTGACCCGTCACTTCTACCTCACACGACGGATAGAAATGATTCCTCTCCACGTCGTCTCCTAACGGTGTGGAGACTAGCAACGTTTGTGTCACAGGTGTCAATGGCACGTCAAGGCCCTCGGCGAACGCCTCACTCACAAATGAGCGTTGTGCCCCGGTATCGATGAGGATCCTCGCACACCTACCATTGATTTTTAATGTTCCTACATTTATACACCATGTAAGATACCTTTTCTAATGTTTTTACACATCTTTAGGAGGTTATTAGGTTCATACTAATGTTTGGAATCAACCGGGGGTCCAAACGTAGAAGAACGGGACGAAAAAATCAAGTTTCGGGTGCCAGGGGTCCACGCACGGCGTGCGTAGGGGGTACGCACGGTCGTGCATACCTTGCCTTCCCAATGGAGGCTACTGCCCCCAACGCACGGAGGGACGCACGGGCAACGCACGGCCGGGCGTGCAGCGATTTCCTCCGGGGTGCTACTGCCACCAACGCACGGAGGTACGCACGGGCAACGCACGGCCGGGCGTGCAGCGATTTCCTCCGGGGTGCTACTGCCACCAACGCACGGAGGTACGCACGGGCAACGCACGGCCGGGCGTGCAGCGATTTCCTCCGGGGTGCTACTGCCACCAACGCACGGAGGTACGCACGGGCAACGCACGGCCGGGCGTGCATCGATTTTCCTCCGGGGTGCTACTGCCACCAACGCACGGAGGTACGCACGGGCAACGCACGGCCGTGCGTGCAGCCCAGCCTGTAGTGCGTTGGCAGAAAGCAGCCCGATTTCGCTCAATTTCGCTCCGTTTGATCCCGGGGTGGCCCGAACTCAACCCCCAACGGTGTATATGATCAAAATAAGTCTAGAAATACATGGGAATACGTGTATTACCTGCAACGGAGTCCGGGTTTGCTCGCGCATCCGCCTCGGTCATCGCGTAGACTCGTGCTTGGGCCCTGCCTTGATTGACGGACGTAGCGTTGCTCGCCGTTGGTTCCGTATGGTTTCCTTCCACGGTGAGCCCTTCCTTGGCTTGTGATGTCTCTCGTTGCCTCCTCCATGGGCAACTTAATTTCATGTGGGTTGTGCTCCCACATTCGTAGCACATCGGGGGCTCGTTGCACTTTCCGAAATGTTTCTTAAAGCAATTCGAACATTTGGATGGTCTGAAAGAGTAAGGAAAGGACGTATGCCACCTTGAGGTCCTTTTCTTTTTCACCGGTGATGCCGGTGCCGTAAGAGTGCTTTCTCCTCCTTGGTCGTTTGCCCAAGGATGGGTTTGGCTGACAGTCATATCACGTTGGGAGGTGGCCCGATCTCGCCTCGCCTGACGCCTACGTTCTTTCCTCCTGGTGTTCATGTTACACATCGAGCCCACTTGATTAGCGCTTGCCGCTTGGCGGCCCTCACGGCCCCCATGGCCTATTCCTCTCCCCGTAAAAGCTCGTGACACAGCCCGGCTAGCCTCAAGGTAAGCTACAGACGCTTCTCCCTTAGGGTCATTCCTTGTTGCCATTCGCTTACCCTCCATTTCTGAAACGGAATTTGGACGAGTCTTTAGACTCCTATGAATGTCAATTGACGGAAAAACGTTATAGACACGTATTGACCCAAGTCACCACCATACCAATTGTTAAGGGTACCGTCTTAACAATTAGAGGCCCTGCAACTTAAACACCAATAGTCCCATAAATGTCAAAATACAATGCTCATGGTTTTCGGTAAAAACTCTTCTGTAAAATCTTTTGTGAGAGGTTGATTATATAGTTTAGAACTGAGATGGCTCTGATACCACTTAATTGTCACGCCCCAGACCGCAATCCAAGCGCGTGTACAACCGCCGTATAATCAAGTGACGTCACCCGCGAGTCAACCTCACTTAATTACACAAGGCGTTCGAGAATATAAACCATCCATACTCAGTAGTAAACATACATAACAACATCACACTTAAACCAATGAATAACGGGTACCTAAAAGTCCTTAATCTGTTTTGCAGGACGGTCATGTGTGGCACTTAGATTCAGGCTGCTCAACCCACATGACCGGAATAAAGGAGCTGTTGAGCAACTACACCAAATGCTACGGAGGAAATGTGAGATTCGGAAACAACGCAGCATCTCCAATCCTAGGATATGGGGATGTCATCTGTGCAAGTGTCACCATAAAGGCTGTCTCATACGTGAAAGGACTGAAGTATAATCTGCTAAGCATTGGACAGTTCTGTGATAGTGGCATGGAAGTAAAGTTTATAGCCAGACAATGTTGTGTGCTGGACAGGTTTGGGAAGGTGTTATTGACCTGCACGAGAACTTCCAACCTGTACACCATTGATCTGAAGAGCGTACAATTACCTTCTTCCATCTGCCTGCTGTCCAAAGCTTCCTCTGAACAAAACAGTCTATGGCACAGACGCCTCTCACATCTTAACTTCAAATATCTCACAACTCTATCCTCCAAGAAACTTGTGAAAGGGCTGCCTCCTTTGAAGACTTCCGCTGACACTCATTGTGATGCCTGCAGACTAGGCAAGATGAAAAGGAGCTCTCACAAGTTAAAACCTGTTCCATCCTCCTCCCGACTGCTGCAACTACTACACATGGATCTGTGTGGACCAATGAGAGTCCAAAGCATCAATGAACGCAAATATACACTGGTCATTGTGGATGACTTCTCTCGGTACACATGGACCAAATTTCTGAGGACAAAGGATGAAACAGCTGCAACCATCATAACCTTCATCAGGACGATCCAAAATTTTCTACAAAAGAGTGTGGAGATCATCAGAACAGATAATGGTACCGAGTTCAAGAATCAGTCTCTTGCTGATTTCTATGAAACTCAGGGTATCACACAGCAATTCTCTGCAGCAAAGACACCACAACAGAACGGGGTCGTTGAAAGAAAGAATAGAACTCTTGTTGAAGCAGCACGCACCATGCTCATTCAGTCAAAGCTTCCCCATTTCATGTGGGCTGAAGCAATCAACACAGCGTGCTTTACTCAGAACAGAACATCAATTCACAAGCGCTTCAACAAGACCCCCTATGAAATACTCTTCAACAGAACACCTGACATCTCATTCTTCAGAGTGTTTGGCTGCAAGTGCTTTGTTCTAAATGACAGAAATGAAAGAAGCAAGATGGATCCGAAAGCCATCGAAGGAGTATTCATTGGGTACTCCACGCAATCAAAGGCGTATCGGGTCTATCTACGTGATCGCAGAACAGTCATTGAGAGTGTCAACGTTGCATTCTATGAAATGACTGACTTTGCTTCTGAACATTTCTTGATAGAACACACGCTCTCTGCTCAAAAGAAGCAACCTGATGGAGCTGAAGCAACGAAGCAAACAACGGCTGACAGTGCAATTCTCGACTCTCTCTTTGAACATTTCTATGAAAATGCACACACTGCCAACCAACAATTACCAACAGAAGCTGCTCAACCACCATTCATGCCTGACCTCAGTGAAGAAGAAGTTGACTCACCTCATACATCAGATCACGAAGATACTAAGGATCATGGCACGGCAGCAACACAAGCAACTTCACCAGCACAAGTTTCAGAAATACCAGCTCAAGCAGACACAGAACCTGAATCGACCCCTGAGCACTCCACTCCTCAACAAACCACATCTACTACTTTTGAGGACCCGGATCACCCTATCATAACTCCAATCCCTCTAACTCATGAGCGGAAATGGACGAAGGCACATCCTGCAGAACAAATCATTGGAGATCCGAGTCGTGGAGTTTGCACAAGAACGGCTACAGCAAATGAATGTCTCTTCTCTTGCTTCATCAGCCAATCTGAACCGACCAAAGTTTCTGAAGCTCTAGCAGATCCTGATTGGGTGATAGCAATGCAGGAGGAGATCAATCAGTTTGAAAGATTGGATGTATGGACCCTGGTGCCAAGACCCCCAAAGAAAACAATAATTGGCACCAAGTGGGTTTTCAAGAACAAGAAGGATGAAGACGGCGTAATTATAAGGAACAAAGCCCGACTGGTTGCAAAAGGGTACAACCAACAAGAAGGAATTGACTATGATGAAACCTTTGCACCAGTGGCCAGAATTGAAGCAATCAGGTTGTTCCTTGCCTATGCTGCTCATAAGAGTTTCACCGTCTATCAAATGGATGTAAAGACTGCGTTTCTAAATGGCGAGCTGAAAGAAGAAGTGTTCGTGGCACAACCAGAAGGCTTTGTTAATCCTGAACGCCCACATTATGTCTACAAGATGAAGAAAGCCCTGTACGGACTCAAACAGGCACCGAGAGCCTGGTATGATGCACTATCTGATTTTCTTGTGCAATCAGGCTACTCGAAGGGAAAGATAGATCCAACTCTTTTCATCAAGCGAGAGAACAGTGACATCATGCTGATACAAATCTATGTAGATGACATCATATTCGCCTCGTCCAATCCGAACTTCTGCGAAGAATTCAGCAACTTGATGCACACTGAGTTTGAAATGAGTATGATGGGAGAGTTGAACTTCTTTCTAGGGCTACAGATCAAGCAATTGCCAGACGGAATCTTCATCAGCCAGTCAAAGTATATCCATGAGATGCTCAAAAGATTCAAGATGGACAGCAAGTCAACCATGAAAACCCCCATGTCTCCCTCACAAAAGCTCGACTCTGACCCTTCCGGGATTTCAGTCGATGCTACCAACTATCGGGCTATCATCGGTTCCTTGCTGTACCTGACATCTAGTAGACCGGATATTGTCTTTGCAACTTGTCTGTGCGCTCGCTTTCAAGCAAATCCAAAGGAATCACATCTGAATGCAGTAAAGAGAATCCTGAGATACCTGAAAGGAACAGTCAACTTAGGACTTTGGTATCCCAAGGACACGGGTTTTGACCTTGTTGGTTACTCAGATGCTGATTTCGCAGGTTGCAAGCTAGACAGAAAGAGTACATCCGGTGGTGCTCAATTTCTGGGAGAGAAGCTAGTCTGTTGGTCCTCCAAGAAGCAGAACTGCGTGTCAACTTCTACAGCCGAGGCAGAATACGTTGCGGCTGCCAGTTGTTGTTCACAAATCCTATGGATGAGGACACAACTCAGAGACTATGGCTTCCTATTCAATCACATTCCGATCTACAGTGACTCCCAGAGTGCAATCGCCATAACTAGCAACCCCGTTCATCACTCACGCACCAAACACATCGATTTGCGCTATCACTTCATCAAGGACCATGTGGAGAAAGGAGATATTGATCTGTACTTTGTAAGCACTGAGCTTCAACTGGCTGACATATTTACTAAGGCACTGGATGAAAAGAGATTACAGTTCCTAGTATCTAAGTTAGGCATGTTGAATCTCGATCCTATGTAATTGTGTTATTTCCATGGTCTGAATAAAATGTGTGTGTGTGTGTGTGGTGTGCGTTGCATGTGTTGAGGGGGAGAAAAGGGAGAAAATAAAAGAGAGAGGAACACTTTGAGGGGGAGAAAAGTCAGAAAAAGAGAAAATAAAAGAGAGAGGAACACTTTGAGGGGGAGAAAAGTCAGAAAAAGAGTGTGTGTGATGTGTGTAACAAATCAGAAAAGTCAAAAAAAAAAAAGTGCATGTGTGGAGAAAATCAGAAAAGAAAAAAAAAAAAAGAAAAAAAAAAGAAAAGAAAAAGAGTGAGTGTGTGTGCTTTTCATTTTT